ATGTAAGGGGCTGGAGGAGGAAGAGGAATTGTAGATGGAGACGAAGGGGCTTGGCCAGAGAGGCAGAGAGAGAACAGGGAAGGAAGAGCTTCCTGGAAGCAAGAGGAAATGGTGTTCCAAGGAGGAAGTGCCCGGGAGCTAAGCGGACAGCAGCAAAGCCCCCTGCTCCACCTGCTTCTCTCTCCCTCCCACACACCCAGCATCTGCACTGCAGCAGGAGTTGGTGTGCTGAAGGGTCACCTAATGGGATCCCTCCCACGCCTCAGACCTTTCAGTAGCTCCCCTTTGCCCTCAAATGAAAGCCAAACTTTTAAATGGCCTCTGAGGCACCCTACCATCTGACCCCCGCCTAGCTCTCCAGCCTCATCTTGGACTACTCTCTCATAGCTTTAAGTTTTAATATTTTAAAATTTCCTAAAAGATATTTAAAAATAATAAAGTATATGCATAATCAACATGTATTCATATATCTACTAGGCAGCTTAAGAAAGAAAATTTTGGCAACGTCAACATATCCCCCTTGTGTTTTCCACTTGGCATCTATCATTCCATGTATTTCTATATATTTTAATATTTACATAAGTATCCCTAAAGTACTATATGTGTACTTTTGCAACTGGCTGTTTGTGTGTTTGTTTTTTTTTATGGTGTTTTTCCGGTTCCCTTTGCAAGTTCTTTTTTTTTTTAAATATATTTTATTGATTTTTTACAGAGAGGAAGGGAGAGGGATAGAGAGTTAGAAACATCGATGAGAGAGAAACATCAATCAGCTGCCTCTTGCACACCCCCCACTGGGGATGTGCCCGCAACCAAGGTACATGCCCTTGACCGGAATCGAACCTGGGACCCTTCAGTCTACAGGCCGACGCTCTATCCACTGAGCCAAACCGGTTAGGGCGCAACTGGCTGTTTTAATCAACATTGTTGGAGAGAGGGATCCATATTGATGCATTAGTTCTAGTTCACGCCTTTCCACAACACGATTTGTCACTTTATCCATTCCTTGTTGATATTTAGCTCTTTTTTTTTCTCTCTTATATACAATGCCTCCACAAACATTCTTGCTTTTGTCTCCTGATGCACACATCTAAGAGTTTTTCTGGGTTTGTTTTGCAAACTGGTGCAAATGCGTCACTGATGTGCTAAGATAAAGTCTCTGTCAGGACTCAGGATGGCCTGCTGGGGCCTACTGACGGCATCCATCCTCTGCAAGCAGTGTACTCAGGGTACCTACAATTATAATGACTTTCTATTCGTGCCATGAAGTTTAAAGGGACCGTTTGCTTTGAAGATACATCAAAGGGTGGAATTGTTAGTCTCAGGGCATAAGCATCTTCAAATTTACTTGTTTTGCTAGATTGCTCTTCAAAAGTTATATTCCTTCATGTTGTTTGCTCTGTATTCTCAAAAGGAAGGAGCCAAAAACCCCCACCCTTCCAGGGGAGGAACAATAGCAGGAACTGGCCAGAGGCAGACATTTTATTAGGCTAGGGAAACAAATTTTTTGCCCAGGTGAGCAAAGGGTTAAGACCTTGCTCCCACAGAGGCAGCAGTGTTCCCAGGGATGCTCTATGTATCCCTGGCAGCGTCCTCTGTGCTCACTTCCTCCTGAACAAAGCCCTGATTCTGGATTTTAGGCTGCTCTATCTTAGACAACAGAAATTCACCACATGGTCCTGTAGAGCCAAAGCCACGAGTGGAAAAGTACATTTTGGGAGACAGGTGTCATTGTCCCCAGTCACATACTTCCCTCAAGAAACCTGTGGTGAAGGGTACCTGGCCAAGGACATGGTTCCAATTTTCCTGTATTTCATGGTTCAGTTGGCATCATCAGAGCACACATTCTCAACCTAATGCTCACCACAACCCTGAGAACAGTAGTCTTCCTCCATTCCTATTACAGAGAGAAGCGTGAGACTCAGAGTGGCTCCAAATTCACCCACAGTCCCACAGTAAGTAAAAGGCAGAGGAAGTCAGTGCCCTTTGCTGTCAAAGGCCTAGATGAGGGAGTTCAAATTTACTTCCAAGAATCAGATCTAGGGAAACATCTCCTCTCCTGGAAGGAAGTCTCAGAACTGCAGAACTTTGGTGCTGTGGCCCATTTTTTTAGGTGAAGATACTGTGGCCCAGAAGAGGGAAGTGTTTTGCCTAAGATCACACAGGAGCAGAATTGATGCCCAAATTTCCTGACCATTAAACATCTGCTGCCCCCACAACAGCACATGGTCTTGGGATAATAAGTGAGGTCATCCCTTAGAGTTGACATCTTCTTACCTTCTGTATCACTTTCTCCTTCCCCCAGATACCCTTCTTTACTTCTCCATTACGATTTTATAATGCACATGGTCTTGGGATAATAAGTGAGGTCATCCCTTACCTTCTGTATCACTTTCTCCTTCCCCCAAATACCCTTCTTTACTTCTCCATTACGATTTTATAACAGAGCTTATATTAGTAAACCCTTTCTTCAAGAGATTCTTGCACCCCACCTTGCTGTCGGGAAAGGAGTCTAGCCTGATTTCTCTCCCACCAGTTTTACACTACTTCCGGGGACATCAGGGGATGAGTTGGCTGTCCAAAGTACAGGTCGTGGAAAAGCCAATCAAGTGTCCAATAACCTAATCAAACCTAGACCATTTCACATCCCATAATGGACGTGGAAACCATAATACATGTGAAATAAGTGAGAATAATAAGTGTGTCCCTGTTCACAAATGGACAAAATTCCTCCAGCAAGCTCATATTTGCATTCTAAAACAGCCCAATTAAGCAAGCTGTCCTCCAACTATAAAGTATAGCCATCTTCTAAAAAAAAAAAAAAAGGAGAATGGAGATTTAAGGTTACAGAATGCACTTCTCTTGGCTCCAAATCATAATGACCTCATCCATAATGGAAGAGCGGGAGCAAGAGGGAGGGGCGGGGGGAGGCAGGCAGAAGGGGTTGAGGGGGTGGAGGCTGAACAAAAGGAGAAAGAAGAGAAAAACAGACTGGTAGAGAGAGGCCTCAAAACAATTTTTGTTACTTATAGCTTCACATTTAAGCATTCCACCACAAGGTCCCATTCATATGAACTGTGAACTGAACCCAGGGACTCTTTATGCCTTAACAAAACCTGTCCCTCTCTAAAGGAAGCTGCCAGAAACAATGTGCATCTAACCATGGGATATATCCTGTTACAGGGCTTCAAACGGAACCTCCACTGATGTGAACTTCAATGGTAGGATGTGGTCCAACTCCAAGACATGTTTCCCAAGGCGACTTCACACTGGGGGAGCCCGGCCAGCAGAAAGCAGAGCGAACAAGAGCTATGGATCATCTGGGGCAGAGGCAGGCACACAGGGTAGAAAGTAACCTGAGTAAGGTCACTTCTGACTACTTTACTATTTGGAGATATTGTATGAATTTAAGGATTGAAAAAAGAAAATATTGAAGGCATTTTATTTTCCCTCTGCCTTTCTTACAGGAAACCTAAAGACCCCCCTGTTCACAGACCAGAAATGTGAAAACAATTTCCAGATAGATCCAGGACTGAAGGAAGGCTGGAATTAGGGTTTCTGCATAATTCAAACACTAGTTTTACATAAAATGATGGGATTGATGCGTTTCGTTAGCTCTTCTTCATTTGCAATGTCAGGTTAGATCGGTATCCCTTCACCTGGGTGTACATTAAATAATCATTGAGGGCTTAAACAGAAAAAAACAATGACATTAAGACTAGCCCAAACCAACTGAATCAGGTTCTCAGGAGATGGATCCAAATATCAGCCTATTTTTAAAAGCCCTCTCAATGAGTCTACCAGGCAATAGGATGGCAAACCACTGAATTAGTCTCTCCCTTTTATTTGAAGAAAGAGTTCCAGGTGACTGATAAAATAGATTGTTTGGATGCAAATCATATATTTTTCTTCACGTTATGTCTCCATAAATCTCTGCTGCTAGATTGCACCTTGTCAGCTAGAGGCAGGATTTGGTAGTAGACTTCTACAGAGGCTAGCTTCTTTGGGGAGATTTTTAAATGCATTACATCTGCCACCTATAAATACTGGGTACAGAATAACTCCCGGCACTTCTGTAAAAATCCTAGTACAAGTCTGAAAAGAGATATTCATTTACAGAAGATCCTCATATTTAGCACAAAGATGGCCTAGTGTCTGTTACTGGAGCATTTTAAATCATATTGGAAGCAAGCTGGAAACCTCAAAAGCAAATAGTAGCTTTTCTTCACATAGTGAGTAGCAGCCTGGCTGACCTTTATATTCTTTCCATATCTACATTTCTATGGTTCAAAAATTTAGCCATTAGTGTATCGCCTAATTCTAATGAGCATAAGTAGCTAGCTAGGAGTTTTGAAGAACACACATTCTGATGTATTGGGACATTTTCAAAACTCAAAGTGACCAAAAAAAGCCAAATTTCAAACTATAGAAAATGTAGTAATGTGTAAATATTACCTTAAAAGGCAGGCATGTAGGAAAGGAAATTTATGTTTTCCTTTTTCCCCTGCGTTATATCTTATGCGTAGTAGGTGCTCAGTAAATGTTTATTAAATTAATGAATAAATGCTGCAATTAATTATTGAGATGCCATAATGTTAAAATGCAAGATAGGGGACCCTTAGCTAGGACACCCTAAGATGTGAACTCAAGGCATTTATAGCAAAACGAATATGAGCTTGGGAGTTAGAAAAAAATGAGAGTCTAAATTTAAATTTGAAGCATGAGAGAAAAAAGAAATAGGTGCAGGCAAGTGAAAACAGTGGTTTGCATTAAGTTCGTTTTGTTTTGTAAAAGGCGGGTAGAGATTGTACCCCAGAGGTAGCCTTTGGGAAAGTATTCCTTCCACAGTGGAAAGTGCATTAAACTTTGAACCAGAGTAACTTCATCTCTTATTAGTGTTAGGACGTTGAATACATTAGTTAGCCTCTCAAAAACTGTTTTGTTTTGTTTTGTTTTGATGGGTTTAAGGGTTACTGATGTAAGCTATGTAAAATATCTACCACCTTAGGCATCCAATGAATCTTCCCTCCTTCCTTCTTCTGGTTCATCAGCCTTTTGGGAACACCGTGACCAGAGCTGTCCAATAGAACTTTCTGCGATGATGAGAATGTCCAATATGTGCACCAATACAGTAGCTTCTAGTTATGTAGCAATTAAGCACTTGAAATAGGGCTAATGGGAATAAAAATGTGAATTTTTAGTGTTATCAATTTCAATTTAAAGTAAAAGAGTGGTATGTGGCTACAGGGGACCATCACATTGGACAACGTAGCCATGGACCTGTGTTGTACCACAGAAGTTACTGCAGTGACAGAAACAGCTGAGAAGTGGCTATTGAGCACTTGAAATGCGGCCAGTATGAATGAGGAACTCAATTTTCCACTCTATGTCACCATAATGCATTTTCATTTAAATAGTCACACGTGCCTGGAGGCTAAAGGACTGAAGAGCGTAGCTCTAGACCAGTGCTTCTCAAATCTTCATGTGTATGAGGATCTTGCTAAATTGCATCTTCTGATTCAGTAGGTTGGCGAGAAGCCTGAGATTCTGCATTTCAAACCTGCTCTCGGGTGATGCCTCTGCTGCTGGTCCACAGGCCACACTTTGTGGAGCAAAGCTCTAAAGCTGTGCTTCCGACTCTGAGGTCTCGCAACTCCAGGCATCCATGGAACTGGTGACAGAAATCCATGGACTGTTCAGGAGCTCGTCTTGGACATTTCAAAAAGCTTAGCAGTACTTCTAACCATTGTTGGCAAGAATGCAAAGCGATACAGTCCTTATGGGGGGAGGGGAAGTGCAATTTCTAAATTTTACTTCTAGGAATCTATTCTGTGGATACTTTGGCAAAAATATGAAAGGTGTATATACAAGCTACTCATTGATGCACTGTTCATAAAAGTAAAAGACAAAAGAAAATCTAAAGGGTTAACAGTAGTAAACTAGCTGAGTAAACACAAAGGAGTACTATGCACTATAAAAAGCAAGGCAAATATTTCACATACCATACAAACTGACTGCCAGGATATAATTTTTTAAAGTTAAAAAGAAAGCAAATGTGGAGGAAAATGATATGAGATGCTAAGATTTATGTCTTTGTTAATATTTTTAAATGGAAAGATAAAGATAAAAACTGTTTTTAAAGTTACCTATAGGTCAGGAAAGAGAGCAAAGTAAAAGGCATATATATCTAACTATACCATGTTTCATAGATTTGTCTTCTGAGCCATATAAATATTTTACATAATTATAAAATAAAAAAATAATTTTTTAAAAAGCCACATGTAAAATGAAAACAAATCATAAAATAAACTTAAGGATATTTTAAGTTGGTAGTAAAACAAAATAGGAATTATTTCAAGTGATTTCAAAACACTAATTTAACAAAACATTCCTACTAGAATATACCATAGGAATAGTAAGAAATGTAAAATATCTTAAATTGTTTGGAGGTGATACCCAGGCTGGATAGCTCAGTTGGTTAGAGCATCATCTTGATACCCCAAGGTTGTGGGTTTGACCCCCAGTCAGAGCACATACAAGAGTCAACCAATGAATGCATACATAAGTGGAACAAGTCAATGTTTCTCTCTCTCCTTCCCTCTCTCTCTAAAATACATACATAACTCAATAATTTAATTTGTTTGGAGGTGGTATTATTATTTTAAGACTGTGTATATACTGTGGAACAAAGCAAGAAAATATATTGATGTATTAATTTTTGGTACAGGAAAGAAAATGAATGTGTAAGATTAAAGAGGCTAAGTTAAAAAAAAAAAACTATAATTCTGAACATTCGTGAAAGAATGAACTCGTGCCAAACCGGTTTGGCTCAGTGGATAGAGTGTCGGCCTGCGGACTGAAAGGTCCCATGGTCGATGTTTCTCTCTCATCGATGTTTCTAACTCTCTATCCCTCTCCCTTCCTCTCTGTAAAAAATCAATAAAATATGTTTAAAAAAAAAAAAAGAATGAACTCGTAATACATTTTATATATTTTTAAGTATATTTCCTATCTGTTCACTGTAAAGCCCCAAAACAATGACCCATCAATAATCATGAACACTCCTGTGCCTAGAAAATAGCAACTAAATAATACTTCCTACTGAAGAGAACCAGGCCTCCTTAGAGAGTGATTGCAGACCTGGGCAAGAAAAGCCCAACATAAGCCTGGAACACCTTGTCACACCAAGTGGCAAGAAAGCTACCAAAGAGTAGTGGAGTCGTGACAAAAAGACATTCTGACATCAATAAGAACAATTGCAATGGACTGAAATACCTCCAACATGTTTAAATCCATGAGTTAATCTCAATACTTAAAATTTTTTAAAAAACAAAACTCATTGGTCATCTTTGGAGGAAGTTAGAGAACCAACAGATTATTCTGAAAACTGGCAAATAAAGGAGGAAAGAGCAAACATTTATCCTGCCTTCCTATTCAAATTACATCTCAGGGTAATGAGTTCATGGGAGTAATGAGTTAATGACAGGGAGTGTGTCTTTGTAGAAGTAATGTGGATAATAAATAAAAATGAAATGACAGGAATAGAATATTTTATAACCCCTAATAAAATAATGAATCTAGGCAATAAACCTCAATAGCTCCTCATATAACAAAAAGAGAGATAAGCAAACATTAGTACCTTGTGATGGCAGTACACAATATCTATGCAATATTCTGGCAAAAAAAATAGGACCATGGGACTTTTAACAGGTGTTCATGGACTAGGTCCATGAAAATATTCTGGGGAATCTATGAACTTGGATGGGGGAAAAACATATCTTGATTTTCAGTAACAGTTAACTAAAATGTAATATTCCCTTCAATTACAAATGGAAGCAACAAACTATACCAGTACTAGCAGTACCCATGAGTTTGCTACCAAAGAATTCAAAGATATTTTCCTATCATACAACAGCTGTTGTTCAAATTTCAAAATATCATTTACACTCATCACTACTCCAAAATCATGGTAATTAAATAGCCATTGTGAGATCTTGTTTAAGTGTGTGTTTTTTAGGAAAGAAGCACATATATTAACATATCACAAAGAGTTTTCAATAGTTTTAATAAATGGATGTAATTGGTTTCTATTATAAGCCTATGTATTTTATTTTATGCATTTAGACACATTATTCTGAGAAAGAAATACTGAAAACCCACCAGAAAGATACAATCAGCAAAACTCAGAATATGGAAAAGTCTACATGACAAATGAACTATTTCTTCAAAAAATAAACTACAAGAATAAGGGGAAGCCTACAGGAGAAAGAGATGTAGATATAACAACCTTTAAATGCATGGGCCTTGTGTGCATTTTGATTTTGTCAATGAAAGAAAATCCAAACCTGAAGAAAAAAAACTTTATACGAGTTTATTTGCACCAATAACTGAGGACATGCCCGGAAGCAAGATCTCAACGGATTGAGAAAATATTCCTGAGAATGGCAGTTACTTACTTTTATACATTTAGAGTCAAAGGAGAAAAGCTAAGGAAGGTTACATGAAATCCACTGGTGGTAGATTAAAGAGATGGGAGAAAGCAAAACAGGGAGAACTCTAAAATTGGGTAAAAAGTAAAATGGAGAGATACAAACTTCTTTGACATTGGTGGGTCTAGTATAGTGAACATTTAACATCTATAGGAAATAGAGATGCTATGCAGGCAACAAGATAACAATGAGAAGTTACAAACTAAAGAAGCTGTAGGCCTGGGATGTGACTGCCCACCATGGCCTGCCCAGTTTGGAATTTAGGATCAGATCATCCTGTGAGTATTTTCACTCACTGACTGTCAGGCCTGCCGTCCAGCCCCCTGAGCTTGTCAGGTCTGCTATGTGGCCCCTTTTCTGTTTTTTATTTATTTATTTTTCGGTAATCCTCACCTGAGGATATTTTTTTTCATTGATTGTTAGAGAGAATGAAAAGGAGGGAGGGAGGAGGTGGGGAGAGGGAGAGAGAGAGAGAGAAACATCAATGTGAGAGACACATCAATTGGTTGCCTCCTGCACAAGCCCCAACTATGTTCACAAACTGAATAAACTATTTAGAAAATTATATGATATTAAGGAATTATTGTTTATATTTTGGTGGAATAATGGTACTGTGGCTATTTTTAAGTCCTTATCTTTTAGAGATGAATACTGGGACAGTTATTTGTGAAGTTAGATAATGCCTGAGAATGACTTTAAGATAATCCAGAAGGGGTGGAGAGGTATAAACAAAATAAGATGAGTTGATAATTATTGAAACTGGGTGACACTTCATCCAATAGGTAATAGTGGCCAATTTTACTTGAACATTCCCATAATTAAAAGTTGGTTTTGAAGGGGAAAAAAACAAACAAAAACACAGAAATCCTACATTTACCCATGAAAAGGCTGTACAGACAAACCAAAGCATCACCTATATATGCTTCCAGCTATAATTATACCAATCAAGTGTATTAACACTCGTTTTCTCTTGCTAATCAGAAGCTTTAGTTAAGAGAGAGAAAATAAATTATTACTTAACAACTGCAATTTAAAGGAGTTTCAAAATTTTTCAAAATATATAATTCCTGGCAGAAAACTAATAAAAGGGGTTTATAATGGAATAAAACCCTAAGGGTTACTGATCTAATAAAAATGTCTCACACTGTATTCTACTTGGCATGTTTCAGGTTCCCCAGGTAGGTTGTAGGCTCCTAAAAGGCAGAATCCATGTAAATTTTCATCTTTGTTTATCTGGCTGAATTGCTGCAAAGGTAAAAAAAAAAAAAAAATGCCACCAGAAAAACAGGCTTTTCTGAAGCCTCTATTAGTCCATCTGCAGCAGATGGAACTACAATGGACTACAAAAAGAAAGCTCTACAGGGTAGCCTGGAAATGTGTCAGCCCAAATACCACCAGAAAGCATTCAACTTTAAAATGCAAAATAAGTTGCAATGCATATTGAAACAGGACAGAGTGATAGGGGTCTCTTCTGCTGGGCAATGTAAATTCTAGAAAAAGGAAACCTGCCCAGTTGCCCCAGCCCTGTCTGTACAGCAGCAAGAGTACAGGGGTCCATTAACATCTCAGTTACCAGTGTAGACGAGTGTCCTGAAGGAGGTG